AACCCTGTGGACAAGCGTCTGCGCGCCCTGACACCTTACTCTCCCTGCGCCGTCAAGCGGGTCCGCTCTGCCCACACGTCTGGCGGTAGAGGCTGCTTTGGAGGCCGGCACCAGCCTGTGCCCTCGGCCAGCTCACACGACTGGCAGCTGTGTGTTCTCGTAGCCAAACCCTCTTGAAGACATCTCCTAAGCCCTTAATTCCTTCTTGGTCTGCTCTCTTTAGGCCAGAGGGAGAAGCTCCTTTTTGCTGCACCAGCTGCTTCTGAGCCCCTGGGAGGCCTCTCTTACTCCTTTCAATAGTCGGCCAGTTTCTCCTAGTGAGCAGTTCTTTATATTACAGTCTCCCTACTTAAACACTGGTGTGGTTTCTTTCTCCTTGCTGGAGATGTATCTGATGTCTCTCTACTAAACTGCAGTTGTTATCAAAGATGCCTCACTGTACTAAAGTCACCCGCTCTCGTCCCCACTAGAGAAGAATCATTGCCAGCTCGGTTTCCTGGACCTTTTGTGTCCAGAAAGAATAAGGAGAGTAGGTAGAAACAGGCAGGATCAGAGAAGTGCGATGAAAGCGGAGAAGGCTTAGCGAGAGAAGCGAGGTTGGTCTGTGCAAGAAAGAGCCGGAGAGCGAGAAGGGGGTGGTGGGAGGAAGGAAAGCATCACAGGCCGAGTGTGGGAGGGGATTCGGGTTTGAGGAATCTGATGGGGCTTATGAATTGTGTTTCTGTTGGTGTTCTTTGTGAGACGCGAGTAAAGACCGGACCTCGGTGCGGGTCGCTTTGGGTTGCGGGAGCGAGCCTCCTCGCCTGCGGCGTGTGCAGAGGCTGCCTGCGAGCTCCCGGCCCTAACCAGCTTGTGACTGATCCGTCTTTTATGTTAGGGAGACTTCTCATTTGCCCACACTTTTGTTTTCTGATGTCCAAGCACTAATTGACTAAATAATGTTAAAAATTCCGTATGTATCTAAAAAAGCATTGACTTCCTACAAATGCCCTTTTATCTGGCTCTGGAGAAATCTTTCCTTCTGACTAAATTAATTTTTAATTTTTAAAATTAATTAATTTTCCTTCTGACTAATAAATTTTAAAAGAGTAAGTATTCAACTGGACGTTGCATGGCATAAAGAACACTAGCTTTAATCTTTGTGTGTATATGTGTGTAGGTATATCTCAAAAAGAAACACTGGAAAGATAAATCAGAAATTAATAGAAATTATTATCTATAATGGGGAGAAGAGATGAGGAGAGGGGACAAGGATGGAAGTGAGCATTATATGTAAATTAAATTAAAAAGAAGAGCATCAGATATAGAGTCAGATAGATGTGGGTTTGAATTCTAATTCTGCAGCTAACTACCACGTGACCTTGGAGAATTCCTTAATCTCTTTTGGTCTCAGATCCATTAATAAAATGCACAGGGTTGTTGGGAGTATAAAATGAGATAACACCTGCTGAAACACTTAGCCCAGTGCCTGGTAAATAATAAATGCCTGGTAAGTGATACCTGTAGTTAGTATTGGCTCAGCATGCAAGAACCATGACTATGCAACTAACCGCTTTGTATTTTTCTAGTCCCCTTGTTTGTTTTTCTGGAATTCTTAAAAAGAGAGCCCTTAAAAGAATAAAGATGTGTATTTGTTCTTGGGGAGACTGAAAATGAGAGCTTACTCTGCAACCATTTTGGGGTGGAAAGGAGGAGCAGTGAGAACTCCAGGCCTTAGGGCAGGTGAGGGCAGCTTTAGAGAATAAATGGAAATAGGATGAGTCCCTGGGGTTTGTTGCAAAGAAGGAAAGAGGAGCCCAAGGCCAGGCCCTGGAAAATAGCCTAACAGAAGATCAGAGGGTATTTCTCCAAATCCACCATGCATGTTTCCCTTCTTTCTCTCTTATGATCAGGACAAAGAAGGGAGATAGTGTATCTCTGTAACTTTCTTAGTGTGGCTTACAAATCCCAGTGTCACCGTCCTTGTTCCAATCAGGAAACAGCTCTCAGACTCCCCCCTCCCTGAATCAATGCTTCATTGTTTATCGAAGAGGAAGTCCTTGGTGCAGATTTTATAACCCAGACCAGACCTTTAGCATCTAATGCCTCTTTTTAAAAGGCACCAAAGCCCCTTTTCTTTGTGACATTTCAAAGCCCAAGTGAACCCAATCGCTTCCAAGCACTCTGTCACCGGGCTACCTCTGTGAGCCTGGGCAAGTATCTGAACCTTCAACTGGAGCGCAGGTTTGCTCCTAACAGAGAGCAGCGGTCGCGGCAGGACCGCACTGACTCACAGTGCAGCCAGATCTCTGTCCTAGCACCATTTAGAAGGCAAGTATGACAGGTGGTTGTTCCCAGCATGTGTTCTTTTGGGAACTTTTAAAACTCTTTTATCATATGTGTTATTAAATCTTCTGCATTTGTAAGATTCACAGTTGAGGCAAGTGCTAGCTTTCTAAAACTCCTTGGCTTTTCCTGTTGCAGGTGAGAAATGGCGTCTGTATCAACCAGGTGTCTGCTGTTGGATGCTGGCCAGCAATGGCAGAAAAGGGATTTGTTGAAAGGTTGCTCACAGAATCAGTAAGAGGGCATGAGAAGCAGGCTTAGAAATCAGCAGAGGCTATGTGGCCAGGATGTCACCACCCTTGCCAAATGAGGTCACCATCCTTGGACACTGATCTTAATGTTAGCCCACTTCAGCCGCCTCCATGGACCCCAATATCACTGTTCCTATGATTTTGCGTGGTTCAGAGTCCTGGATGGTGGTGCCCTTGAACCTGTGTGGTCCCTTTGGCAACCAAGGACAAGAGGGCAAGAGTTTTAGCCTTTTAGCTTCAGTACTGTGCGTGAGTTGGCTGACAAGCAGAAGACTCAGCATGATTACACTGGGCTCCTGGCCTCTGGTTAGCCCTTGAGTTGCTGGTGCCAGAAGAATGCTCTGACTCACACTGGCGGACACCTCACAATTAGGAAGAGGATTTAGATCCTGGACAGCAAGGAATAAAAAAAGAACATCCACCGACATGCCAGAAACTTGGACAGTGCTTCCAATCCAAGCCCTGCTCTGCCCTCACCCAGCCCCTCCCCTGTTGGGCTCGGGCCTGCACCAGCCCACCCCTCCCCCGCACCTGAGCAGGTGCATGTCCCTTCCGGGGCCTGGATTTCGGCCAGCCATTGCTCAACTCCAGCCTCTTGTTGTTGTGACATTTGGCCTCCATCTCCAGGGCTTCTCCTGGCTGCAGTTCTTGGAGTCAAGTTTCCTTTCACAAAGCTGCAAGTTGCCAGCCATGCCAGTCATGGATCTCGGGACTTGCACAGAAATGACCTTTTTTTCCTCCCGTTCTTGGCTCCTCCTCTAAGGGTCTACTCTCCAATCCCTGGATACGAAAAGAGTGCTAAATTGAAGCTGGGAGATTCAGACTTGTTAAACGTGGACTTCCTTGAGTAATCTGATCTTATGAGCCTCGGTTTCCTTATCTGGAGACAGGAGTGGTGACTGCAAAGACTTCTTGAGCTGCTGAATCACAGTGACCATGATTTTAACACAAGCATCTTTTTGCTCAACTCTACTTCTCGGGTCCCTGACTTCTCTGACTCTCCTGCTCCTGTTCCTAGTCTGCTTTGTTTCTGTCCCTCTTGTTCATTTCAACAGCCTAGTTAGAAAATGACAATAAAAATGGAAATTTTCCATTCTTCGCTTCACCAGAGTCCTCCCACTCAATAGTGCGCATACATCGCCCTAAATTACCCAGCCCGAGGAGGCCGACTTTTCTGGGGCCACCAGCGCACAGCAGAGGGGCTGGGCCTCAGCATCTACCCTTACCCCACAGTGTGGCTGTCAGACGTCCCATCGTTTCCTCAGTAAAAACCTTGATGATCTTGGTCCCATGATGCTGCTTTTTGACAACATGGACTGCAGCTTCAGAATCATACCCTTGCTCCTTGGTTTTACCCAGAGGAGGAAAAAAGCCATATGAAGTGATCTTTTGCTTATTTTATATACCAGATGACCCTCTTGCAGGTTTTTCCACTCTGCCTTTCCTGTATTGGTTCTTTTGGGTTTTCTTTAAAAATAATGGCATCCCTGGTGGTCTAGTGGCTAAAAAAATAAATAAATAAATAAATAAAAATAAAAATAATGGCAGTCATGACAACAGCCACCACTGACTCGCACCTTGCGGCGTGCCAGCCCTGTGCAGGTGCGGACCCGCTATCACCGGGCGCCTTCCCCCAGGAGGCCTGTCTGGCAGGTTCCATGGAGTCACTAAGCAGGCCCCAAAGTCCCTTCAGCTTCTGCAGCTGCTTCATCTCCAGGGGCAGAGGGAGCTCTGCTGCCTTTTGGATTTTCTTCTTTCCAGAAGCCTTCATGCCTCCCGCAGTTTGCCGAGCGCCAGTGGCTTTGCTGAAAAGGATGTCATGGATGCTGTGTAGAACCAGGGACTCCGTGGCCCCGTAATATTCTGGGTCTCACAGAAGCCACGATGCTGAGGACGGCCCGGGAGGAACTCAGGTTCACGAGCCCCTCTGACCACAGGCACACACTGGACTCCAGGAAACACGGCTCTAGCATAGTTTCTGGGCTTTCTCAGGGTGAGGAGACCAGGAGTGTGATTTAGGAGAGATTTGCGAAATCTCTGACTTCATCCCTTCATCTTCGGCATGATTTATCCTTCCTTATTCCATTCCTATTTTTTGTTTATTTATTTATTTTGAGACAGAGTCTCACTCTGTTGCCTGGGCTAGAGTGCTGTGGTGTCAGCCTAGCTCACAGCAACCTCCAACTCCTGGGCTCAAGCAAACCTCCTGCCTCAGTCTCCCGAGTAGCTGGGACTACAGGCATGTGCCACCATGCCCGGCTAATTTTTTCTATATATTTTTAGTTGGCCAATTAATTTCTTTCTATTTATAGTAGAGACGGGGGTCTCCCTCTTGCTCAGGCTGGTCTTGAACTCCTGACCTTGAGTGATCCACCCGCCTCAGCCTCCCAGAATGCTAGGATTATAGGTGGGAGCCACTGTGCCTGGCCATATCCTTCCTTATTCCAAATCCCAAGTATGGTTACACGTGCAGCCTCTCTCATACTACTCAAAACATTTTCCATTTCGATTTTTTAAATTTTCTTTTCTTTTTAGCTCCTCTTCAGTCAACTTGATTCCATTTCTGTTTAAATCAATTTTTCCTTATTCTACCCTAGCAAATCAGGGAACAGTTGGTTATGATCTTCTTTGAAATATTAATTTCCTTCCTTCCTTTTCCCCTTTCTGAAAAAATATGAAGGCAGAGCTTTGGGGGAGTTGTCCCTGCCCATCAAGAAGCACACAAACTTCTATCCCAACGAGTAGGAAATAAATAAATAATAAAGAAAAAGAAGCACACAAACTATCTCAAGGGGCGTAGTGATTGGGGGGGTTAATGTGCTTTTCTTTTTTGACTTTTCACTGCTGGCTGGAGGAATCCCATTATCTGGTGAAGGGGAGGAAGTGATCAGAATGGCTCCTGAAGAAATCAAAGAGAAAGAGAGTCAGTGTTCAGTTTCTGACATTAAAATAGTATTTCACAGCAAGACAATGACTTGAACGCTGGGTCTGGAGTGAGAGAAAGGGTTTTTCTGAATCGCTTTAGCTCCCAGTTGGTCCCGATCATAGAGTTTCTCCTGCAAGGTAGAGAAGACAGCTCCGCTTACTCTTAGGTTTAGCCTGGACTCTGACATCAAGACTAAGGAAATCATCAGGCAGAGGAAGTGAATGAATTGCTGCCCCTTCTTGTCCTGGGGGGCTAGGGGAAGAGGAGGCCAGGGACAGAGGGAAGGGAGGAGGGGAGTGTAGACGTGCATTCCGATGTCCCTCTGAAAGGCGGCTGGGGAGCCCAGAGGCGCCTGCTCAGGACTCTGGGAGGAGCAGCCTGGAGGCGGGCTCTCCTCTGCGACCTGCAGCAAGGAGAAGGGAGCGAAGGGCCGTGGCTTGCCGGGCAGCAACAGCGGCTGCTCCACGGTGCCTCTGAGGTCAGTGAGACAGCCCTGGTGACCACTGTCTCAGGAAGGCGCAGGGCGATGGGCGGAATTCTGACGGGGCCTGCGCCCCAGAGGGAGCTGAGGTCAGGTAAGGGGTCAGGGAGCAAAAGAGAGGGAGCCCAGGCCAGGAGCTCTGCCAGGTGTGGACATCAGCAGAAGGCACCGCCGACCCCCAGGGTCAAACACCCTCTCCAGGACCTGCTCAAAGCGAGGTACCTTCTTCCCCTGACAGTGCTGTGGGCCATGGACTCAGACCTCTTCTGAGGGGAACAGGAGAAGCCAACAGAAGTAAGTAACCCTGAGCAGGACCCGAAAGGGGACAATTAAACTGTTGATTTGGACTAAGGTTTAAGCTAGATTGGGCATTAGTCACATTCCTTCTCTTTACCCAGCAAACACCAGCGACCGAGATGACAGCGTGCCGGAGCCGGTCCCTGCACCCGCAGGCCGCACGCGAGCGTCCGAGCCTGCCGCCCCACCGCGAGGACAGAAGACCAGCCCTCTGTTCCAGGCCCGGTGGTTGCAGTTCTTTTAATGTGTCTTCTTATTTTACATTCTTACCATAGCTCTCGTATTTTTATATCCCTCTGAAATTCTAGTCTGTGTCCTCTGCTTCCTCCTTAACGTCAGCTACAAGAAGAAGCAGGAAAGCCTCATGGTCACCGGGCTGAGGGGTGACCCTCCCTACCCCAGTCCCTCAGGATGCGCTGTGTGCTGAGAGGGACCCTTGACGAGGTGGGTAAGCTAACAGGAGACATGAGGGCAGGCCCTGATCAGTCTGGCTGGAGCTCCCTGTCAGCGGACACAGGGGCAGCAGGTGCACTGCACAGAGAAGGGTGCGCGGACATGCTCACCAGGCGGGCGGCCGTCTGCAGCCCAAGGAGAGAGGCCTCAGAAGAAACCAGACCTGCCCACGCCTTGCCCCTGGACTTCTAGCCTCCACAAGTGTAAGAGAATAAATTCCTACTGTTTAAGCCACCCAGTCTGTGGTATGTTGTTATGGCAGCCCTGAAAACCAATATACTCCCCTTCTTTTGTTTTACCCAGATAACAGAATTGTGCAAATGAGTGTCCCTCTGGCTGGTGAGAGCCACATTTGGAGGCGGCATGGGCACACTTTTTATAGACATGGGGCGTCATTCTACAAGGCCGGCGCTCCTGTGCTGGCGTGCTGGCGTGCTGGCGTCATTTAGCATGCACGCGTGACTGTGGCGGGAGGGACCTGCGGGCGAGCTGGTGTACAGTGGGGCACGTGCCCTCTGCAGGCCCCGCAGCCTCGCCCTCTGGGCCCAGGCAGCAGACAGAGTGGCAGAGGAGCACGAAGGTCGTCCCTTTGGTTGGAGTGAGCGCTGGAGCGGGGAGGTGTCCTTGCCCACTCGGGCCACTTTTCTGTGACAGACGCTTCTTTTGCAGCAAAGGGGAGGCATGGAATTAGTACCACAAAATGAGAGACAGCACAAAAACTGAAACGAGATCTCAAAAGTTTATCCCAGTACAAGCTATGGAGAAAAAACTTCCAGAAGTTTGTCATTCAGCAGAGACCTTCCGGCTGGGAGGGTGAGAGAAGCCCTGCGACTTGTCGACTTGTCGTCCAGAGCCCTGGGGACTCATGCATGTTCTCGGCAGCACTGGCGACAGCTGGAAACCAGCTCTTAGGTGACTTCTGAAAGTTGCTAATGGGAATTAGAGGCCCCCAGACTCTGGAAAACACAGATTGTAGAAGAATGTGCCCTACACGTAATCCTAGGATTTCCTATTTTTAAAAATTTTTGTGATGTAGATGGGGCTGACACTGGACATTCCGGGAATGAGCCAGCCTGGATTGCTTAGCCTCCTGCCTCAGGGCTCAAGACTGTGCGGAAGGAGAATTTCCCTCTGCTTTGTGTTCGAGGGATTCCACCTGCACCCCGTTATGTGCCCCAGTTAAGGACATTGGGGCACCCAGAAATATTGGGCAGGGCTAAGAGCATTAGTGGGTTCCACCTGCCTTCAACCTCTGTCCCTCCCACCAGGAGACACTGGCACTGACCTCGTGCGCCGTCCCTCTCCCTCACGGTCTGGTAATCGCTCACAGGGACTCATGTGGAAAGAAGAGCTTTTGCTTCTTGCAACCAGAGACCAGAGGGAAATTTTTTTCTAAAAGTGGAGATCTGTCCCATCTCCCCACTGCCCACCCCCCCCTGCCTCTTTAGGGGGTAGAGTTGCAGGAGAGGGTCCTGGGGCCCTGAGCAGATGTTGGCATGCCGTCTGCCATGACCGAAGCTGAAATCCTGCTCGTTCCCCTTTCTGGGAGATTTCGGTACACGCTGGGGCTGCGGCTTGGCACCCCACCCGTGTTCACAGAGACAGCCTAGTTTGCTCCCGGGCCCACAGCCTTGGAACTCGGTTTAAGGGGAGGGAGTGAACAAGCCTTCTCGGCTGTCAAAGGTCCTTGCTATCTGAGCATTGCAACAGCAAGAGCAAATGGCCTAATCTCTTCCTTAGCTAGGCAGGGCCACAGGCAGGCGAAGTATCTGTTTGTCATAGAACAATAGAATGCTAGAACCAGAAGACTGCCTGGAGATCATCTGACCCACAGAGCACAAATGAGGAAACTAAGCCCCAGAAAGATAAGATAATGTGCCCAAGGTCATGCAGGCAGGAGTAAGAACCCAGTCATTCTAACTTATTGAGCGTCCAAACGTGACTGTTGGCGTCTTCCTGCAACAACCTTGCTGGAAGGGCACTCCCCCTTCCATTTACAGGAAGGAAATGGAAGCCTGGAGGAGCGGCTATTGCCCAGGGAGCCCCCAGCTGGGCACAAAGCTAGGCTTCCAACACACTCTTGGCCACCACTCTCTAAAGTTAGGCCCTGTTTCCGTGGGTTGCTGGAATGCTCAATTTCGTATCTGAAACATGATTGGCAGGCTGCGACTGCTGATTGTGACCAGTACAGCAGGGGCGAAAGGATTACGCCCACAGCTCATCTTTCCACAGACCTCTCCACAAAGGCTGCGAAATGCTGACAGACTAGTTGAAGGCGGGCCAGGCGCCAGCCCTGGTGCATTTACTTCCTGATTAGCTGGCGAGGACACAGAGCAGCCAAGAGGACGTTAGCTTTCTCATGGGATGAGGCGACCAGAGGCTGCCGCGGCTCTGGGAGGTGGGCGGTGGGCCCCACCGGCTTGCATCTCTTTTTGTCCCTTCCCTCTCAGTGGCCTGGTAGCTTTTCCTGCCTTTGTGCCCCCACGGTCCCCAGCAGGCCCTGCTTCATGCCAGAACCTTTGCCCCAGTCTTCCCTGCCTCTGTCCCATAAAGACTTGTCCCACGTGGCATTTCTCTGGGGCCTGCTCTCTGGCCTCCGGGCTGCCCGATAAGCTGATCCGTGTGATGTGCTTAGGGGAAACTCTTGCGCCCTTTAGGTGCCAGCTGAACATTGAGAGGGTAGTAGAATTGTCAAGTTTCTCAGCAGTCTGCAGGGATACGTTGGGGGAGCCAGGAAGGCCTTGGAGGGGCGCACTTGCTGGCTGACTCACCAACTTCTAGGGTAGCTGGGAGTCTGACTCTCCGCCCCCCCAGCCCTCCCCCGCAGCCCCCCCCCGCAGCCCTGGGACGAGGCGGTGGGTGTTGTGCAGAGTGTGCGATGAGTGGACCTTGTGTGCATCTGTTTCCCACACAAATGCCAAACCTTATGGGGGACATGGTCACTCCCAGTTCTACCCTGGGTCACTCCTAATTGTCTTTCTGTGCACAAAGAAAACTGAAGCATGTTTAAAAGCATGCCGGACGATATTAAACTGGCACTTTTGAACACTGTGGATCAGACGCCCCTTGTTTGTCTCTCATCTCTATCGTAGCCTGAGAGATTAACATCGTCATATTATTTTATTGATGAAGAAACAGAGTCAGTGACTGGCTCAGATTTTCAGAAGAAATCAGTCTGAGAAAGGTTTGTCTGATCTCAGCGTCCTTGTCCTTCCCCTTGTGCAAGGGCTGGTGTCCCTCAGCTCAGGGTGGGCCTCCAGGCCCAGGCTGCGGCTGGCTCCCGAGAGCCGATCGTTCAGTATTCAGGAATTTGGCATGCCGATGGCTAAACACAGCTATTATTAAAAATCAAATTATATAAACTTAATACGAGATACATTCTGTTAAAAACACAGGTAATCAATACTTAAAACGCGCCGCCATTCTCCATGCTCTGGAGGCCGTCGTGTCTGTGGTGTCTGCGTGGGATGCCAGCTAGCGCCGATGACTGTCCGCCCCTCGCGGCTGGGCACCCGGTGCCGGCGCCTGGGCCGTTTGCAGCCAGCCGGAGGGTAGTGTTTGTGCAACAGAAATCGATAAATGCTACGATCACATTTTTTTCTTTCTGGTGCGCTACCGGTAAACCACCGCTCGAGTTCAGAACCTTTACATCCTGGGGCTAAAAGAACCAGAGAAGACTCCGCTCGGGTGGGCTCCAGGCGTGTCTTGTCCTGGGGACACTGTCTTGCCAAACGCCAGGCAGCAGCCTAGTGCATGGAACAGGAAAACAGACTTGGCTAGTTGCTGTTTTAAGCCTTTGAGCTTTATGGCAGCTTTCATGTAGCAATAAATAACCGAAACACACAGTTTTCCTCCTGCTTCGCTGACTGTGGCTGCTCCCTCACACTCACGGCATCTCTTCTTCTAACTGCCTCCTCATCTCTGGCGTTCCCAAAGTCCTAGTCACGATCTGTCTCCTCTGTGACTCTCTTCCCGTCCGATCTTCTTCATCCTGTGTCTTTATCTGCCAAATGTACGTATATCAAGTGTTGGTTTCTGAAAGAGTCCTAATCAATAGCACCTCTTTTCCCCCTCCATATTCTGAACAAACAGAAAAATGAAATGACTTAAAATGGATACTAAAAACATATAAAAACAAGATATATTTCTATACACTAGCAATGAAAATTCGAAAATGAAATTAACAATTCCGTTTACAATAGCATCAAAAAGAATAAAATAGGAATAAATTTAACTAAGGTGAGAAGTTCTGCATCTTCTGGTTGATGGGCCTTTGCTGGTTTCTGGGGCAGGGGCTGAGCTCATCTGATGCCTGGCTGTCTTGGGTCCTGTGCTGACCGGTGGCTTCTGCAGCCGGGGAATCTGTGCGGGTTGTCCTGGCCAGGCGTGCGGAGTCGGGCTTGCTCTTGCGTCTGGAGCACCAGGGCGTTGATGGTGTTGCTGCTACAGACCCCTGGGGCCTGTCACCTCCTCCACCAGGCCCTGCCTTGAGTGGCATGGCAGCTTTTGCTTTGGGTCACCCTAGTTACCTTTCCTTCCCCGCTGGGTTGGGGTGTGGGGAGTGGGTGGCGGCATGTGGAAACACCACAGACGTCGTGGGGAACCAAGAGCCGGCAGTGCTGTCTTTGGGTGTCTGTCCCGCCCCTGCCTTCAGCGCCATTCTGCCTTCGCGCGGTGGCGGACACTGCGCCGGCGGCCGCGCTCCTTGACTCTCCTTGGACAAAGGGTTTGGGCTCTCTCGTCTTGTTCCTCCGCACCAAACATTTCCAAAATCTGCGCTCACCCATTAGCCAACTGTTTTGACTCTGGACCAGAGCTTTTGTCACTGACTTCCTGCCCTTTCTCTCACATTTTGCCCTCTCCTCCTCCCTTTCCGGGGGGGTCACTTCTTCAGTCGTCTCGGGCTTCCTCCGTGCGCGGCTCGCATGTGGCCTCAGCCGCGTGGACCGTGTGGCCCCAGCCCCGCTGCGCGGTCCCCAGACGCCAGAGGTCTGAGTCGCTAAGGCGGCCTGAAAAGAGAACTGTACAAAACAGGAATTCCGTTTCTCTTCTGATAAGACCTGACTCTCGGAGCTATTGCCTCACTCTGCACTGAAAAGAGAGCGGCTGTGGAGGAGGAGGCCGGCCGCAGCGCCCTTCCCTGTAGCCTTGAGTTCCACTGACACCGTGCGTGGGAGCCCCAGAGCGCCATGATTTAAGGCAAATGAAAATACATTCATTTAAAATTTCC